ATGGGTATGAGACACTACCCACTGACTGCTCTCAGACACATGGCATCTTGCCAAATCTTCAGGGCAATTTTCCAGGCAGACCTGGCGATCTATCTCCATCCGACAATGGCCGTCTCGGTAGAGCACAAGGGCAACACGACAACACATTCTTTTGGATAAGGTCGGGTCAACAAACACGGGTTAGGTGTTCCGTTCAATGGTACGCTATGCCTGTGGAGGAGTGGAAGCCATCTGCTTCTCCCTCAGTCGGACGTGTATTCTATAGCTGGCTTTCGTAAGTCTTCTGATTAAGAGAGTCTTCAATCCTTTACCTACCTTCGTAGATACTATGGATTTGAGCTCAAGTACGACGAGTTTGCTATTCGAATAGCGGAGGGAGGAGCTGTTCCTAGGCGAAGTAGACCAAAGCCAGAGCCGGCTGAAAAGAAGGCTACTAAAGCTTCCAAAAAGCGAAAAGCAAAGGCGGCAGCTGCAGCACTGGCTGAAGCCAACATGGTACAGTCGATAGTCGAGACGATTGTGGACACACCTGAAATGGAAGAACATCAGGAGAATGGAGAAATATCAAAAGTGGAGGTATGGATGAATAAATCAAATGATCAACAGAAAGGTATTGATCGTTAATCTAGCCTATTACTGATGATCTCCAAGTGGAGGAGATTGCCACCGCCGTCGCTGAAGCCGCAGAGATCCAAAAACAGGATGGCGCTTTAGATGAATCTCTTCAAGAAAACCAATTCACCAGGAAGAGTCAACTGGACGAACCATCAAGATGGGCGAACGAGTGTTTTGTGGTCGGGGATCCTTTCATCGCCCAAAAGGTCATCTGTTGATTCAATTGAATATCAGGGATATACTGACCGCATCCTTTAGAACTGCTCCGGTAGTATCACCAAACGAGTTCTCAACGAATTCATTGCGCAGTGCCAAGCAACTCTCCAAATGATTGATTCTGGTGCTAGTCTACAAGACATCATATCCAAAGGGTCACCAAATACGGCTGTTTCAAACGGTAAGGGTCAGGAAAAAGGAAAAACCAAAGGAAAGGAAAAGGAAGGAAAGCAAGGGCAACCGAAGGGACCTAAGCAAACCCAGAGGAACCGCGCTAAGTCACAACCTGGTCCTGCCACTGCGGGCCAGACATCACAGGCTCCCGCATCGTCCATCGAATCTCCTTCGCAAGTTGATCAAAAGCCCAAATTAGAGCCCCATCCGCGAACACAGCAACGGGTAAATGCGGACAAGCCATCAGACGGATCGTCGGTCTCTCGAAATCAGGAAGCTTCGAGGGTGGAGCGACTTTAAACTGTCCATAACGGCAATCTTCTAAGTATCTGCACGATATCACTTACTGCTCGTGGTCCTGTTTCTTGCTGCTCCCCCAGCTCGAACTCTAATTCCCTCAAAACGGCACTTTACTTGCGTATATATTGCCAGAGGAGTTTATACTATCTTGTCCATCGTGTATGGTTAATTATGTCCCCAATATGAATGGGATTTCGTCCAATTGATCGCGTCGACGTCACTACCCTCCCGTCCCTCAACGCTCCACTGCTCCATCCTTCGGTGAATATAGAAGGCGCCAGATCAGGGCGAGACCAAGAGCTATCAAACACTGACGTAGCTGATCGAAATGTCCATATAACCCGCAGATTTCGACTATCCAGTCTCTCCAACATCTCTCTCTCTCATCACATAACACATGGATTTCATCAACAAAGTTACTGGTGGTCAAAACACCGAAGGTCACCAACAGCCTACCACTCAACAAGGTGGCGGCTTGATGGACAAGGTGAACAACACCCTTGGCGGTGGCCAAAGTGGCGAGCAAAAAGAGGGTATGTGCAGTTGGCTCGTTGATTTTAACATTCTAACGCCTTTTATTCCTAGACTATCTTGACAAAGGCAAGCTTTCTGTCCTAATACCCTCCCCAGGGAATGATATAGACGCATAACTAATTGTGATACAGGTGTCGACATGTTCCAAGAGCGTGTGCTCGGCCAAGGTCCTCAAACCAACGAGTCCGCTATCGAGCAAGCTAAGGACGAGCAGATTTCTGACGCTATCAGGAGTGGCTACAAGAGCATGACTGGCAAGGACGTTCCCATTCAGGACAAGTAAAGGACTGTAATATCTAAACTGTATAATCAACTACACATTACAATACTTACAAGTGGCCATGAGTCGTAAGTCCCTTGTACCCCGTGTGAGGTAGTCCTTCAGGAAGAACTTTATGGGTGAGGCTGGAGAGGGTTGCCCGACGTCTTGACCTTTTCGACACTTGGGGACTATTCTCTATGGCTCATAACTTGAAAAATGACGCCAAACTATCCACTTGGCTCCCTCCCACTACTCGTTTTCTCGACTACGAACCGTACGGGTGCTTTTCACCAACTAAATAGCGAGCAAGCAGAGAAGGCCAGAAATGATTTGGGCGATCTTATTAATAAACAAAGGAGTAGGATTATTATTCTCGTTTGAAATTGGTAGTTTTCGGTGAGGGGCGGGGACCAGCAAGGTGCTCGTAGCCAACTCAGTTGTCGCCCATAAATCCTATGCCGAAACTACGCCTTGTTCACGGAATACGAGTGGAATTTGATGAATAATTCGCCATATGTCCACTCTTGCAAGATGCGCCCGGTCAGAAGGGTGCCCGGTTCTGTCCATGTCGCTCCTGTCGAAAGCCACCCATTGAATCCGTCTTATCTGACTTTTCATCTTTAGAATCTGCATTCGTGATGAGGAATGGCAATCTATCCACTCCTTGATCAGACACGTTCCATCATCGCTAATTGGAGCGTAGTGGTTCCCGTGACAAGCGTCGATTGGGTAGATCTCTCGGCCGGACGCGAAGAGTGGGTAACTGTGGTTCTGCTTCCGACTTGGAAAAGATATAAAGGGCCCTTTGGTAATTCGACTGCCTAGTACTTTCACCCCTCTTCTCCTTGCTAAACCCCACCACTTGCCCAATGAATTTCCTCAAACAAGCCGCTTCTGCTGCTCTGAAGAACAACGACCAGCAACAAGGAAACAACCACAACAATTACGACAACAATAACAGGCATAACAATAATAACTACAATAACGACAACAATAACAACAACAATTATGGCAACGATGACCGCAATAGATACGGCAATGATGACAATCGCAACGATTACAACAATAACAATGACCACCAAGGGGGCGGGTACGGTGGAAATAACCACAATAACCAGGGAGGAGGAGGACTCTTGGGCACCTTGAGCGGCGTTCTCGGCAACAAGAACGATCATCAGCAACAGGGGTACAATCCACAAAACGATAACCGCCACGGAGGCGGATATGATAACAACAACAACCAAGGAGGAGGATATGGCGGCAATAACAACCACGGGAACCCAAGTGGTGGTGGTGGTCTGTTGGGTACCTTGACCAGTGCTCTTGGCAAGAACGATCATCAGCAACAAGGTCATAGCTCCCAAAACAACAACAATCACTCCGGTGGCTCCGGTGGTTTAATGGGTATGGTCAATAATGCGCTTGGTGGAGGTCAACGTGCCGAAGAAAAAGAAGGTCAGTGTGCAATAGCTATCACCAGCTCTCATTGACATACACTGACGACTTTGTAGACAAACTCGACAAGGGTATGACCACTACCTAAGTGTATTTATAACTTTCTGATCATCCCTTTAGCCATCGATATGTTCCAAGAACATGTCATGAAATCTGGTCCTCAAAATAACGAGTCTGCCATCGAGCAAGCCAAGGATAAGCAGATTGCTGATGCCATCCGTGGTGGATACAAGCAATTCACTGGAAAAGATGTCCCTCGTTAATTGTATAGTATAATCGACTGCTCCTGTATCAATTCAATTCAAACCACTTCCAGTTTCTTGACACAGCGTTGTAAATGAGACCCAACCGATACTCTATGGACTTGATTGAATTGTTAAATTTATTTGCGCCGCAAGCAGTCGCTTCTGGAGTAGCGCCGACCAACGACCAGCCGGGATCTCTGCACTGTGGCTGAGCTGGGATCCTACCTTTGTGCCACATTCCTTTGCGCCTAGCTTTCATTGCTACCCTCCACTACATCCTACTCCTTCCAAGACCTTTAGGCATACATGCTATTTAAATAAGCATGGCTACAGAAGTCGAATTGAACACGTGGGTACCAGAGAGTCTCCAAATCCCGCCGCCACTTGGCAACAGTCCAATCTGGAAGCTGTCCTCAGAGATATTTCTGATGATTGCAGAATATCTGGACACTGCTACATGTCTTACCCTTTCACAGGTAAGTATCTCTATGTTCAGACATAACTGCACAACTTGTCCTCGTCCCTTTCTTTCTACCTCCTTGCCATTCTCTATATTCAAC